AATGATGGAAATGCCCCATTTGTACTTTTGTTTATTCACACAGACAAATATCGATTGGCAGTCCCTCTTTGTTCAGGCTGTTTTCCCAACTGGCGGTTTAGACTTCAGGGCAACACCGTTGCAATATAAAGAATCCAAGCAGATGAGCATGGGAACACAGAAACCACAGGAATGTACGCAATGCTCCCACAAGGATTCAAAACAGAAACCGACTTCAGATTTGACTTCTGAAGACTTATGAGAATAGATTTTATTTCTCCTGTATCTTTGATTCGAATATCTTGGCCAAATGCAGAGATGGGGAGGCAGGCAGGTGTTATTTTGTGTTTTATCACAAGCTAAAAAAACAACAAAAAGGAGAGGTCCATCTGCTGAGTGGAGGTATGAACATTTCAACCGTTTTATAGGGAAATAAATCTAGAAGTGTTATTTATGGCAGGTACATTACATTTTTTCGATGAGCCTGATTCCAGAATCTAACTTGACACTTAGCCCACACCAGGTTACTGATAAATGAGATGTTTGTGTTGGAGGAATGGACTAAATGAAATGAGGGGTTATGGTGTTTCTGCAGACTCTTGGATGGGTGTGAGCTCCCTCTCAACAAGAGTACAGATTTATGGTTCTGAAACTGGTTTCAGAGCTCCAAAAACTGAGGGCTTGTGTCCATAAGATGAAACCCCGCTGACATTTAGAGGCAGGTCTGTGTGTAACACTGTCCATCATAACTGGGAAGTCAAGCTAGAATCTTGCAGACCATAAAGCTTTGGTGGCTTTTCAGGTGGGCTGCTTAGGCAATTACGAGGAACCCGTTAACTCTCAAAAATTCCTTCAGGAGCTTTTCTTTGTTTACTTATCTTTATCACTTCATCTCAAGGTTTAGTTTCCCCAGAAGAGCCCCAAACAATCTTAATCCTCAAAGTGATTTAATGCACTCACTGTGTCTCTTGGGTCATTTAGGTGTTGAAGAGGCCACACGCTGCAATTCCCTTTTTTCGGAATATATAAACAGGCCACTTCCAGCCCATTCATGTCAGGCCTTCCGCCCCCACTACTTTAGTGCTTTTATTCCACAAACTTCACCGGATGTTCTCAAATTAGACACGTGTGGTGTTTATTTGTTCAACATAAACATAAACATCTTGTGTTCCGAATATGAAACAACACTGAATTGTCTGGGTAAGCAGGAAGAGCTGAGATTTCCATCTGAAAAAGGCACACAAAGAAGAACGCGCAATTGGTTGTTTTTCTTCCTGCTAATGTGAAATAGTGGCTTTGCATCGATTGTTTTGGCCGCTTGCTCTGCTTTTTGCAGGCTGGAACAGGCTCGTCTCGTCATTTGCAGATGGGCTATTTGGCAGATGATGAACAAAAAGCTTTTTTTCCCACTGCTACTCATAAGTTACAGTTACTTGTCCAGAAGCCAGGCAAGATGGGATGTTGTTTGTCAATGTCAGTAAAACAGATTAAGCAATGTGCAAACACTCGAAAACCCTGTTTGACCGAACATGAAATGTAGATATTGAGACATTTATCAGATTTTTAAGTAAGCAAAAAAATGTTCAAATGTCATTATAAAAACACTTGGAGGAATATCTCGTGCCTTCGATGCTTTTTAGGGCTTAAACTTAGTTTATAATGTTTAAGTTTTTAGATTAACAGAGTTCTTGATAATTTTTGTTTGATTTAAAAAATACTTTATCATCAGTTTGGCAATGGAAAGTCTTCATTTGGGTCCAACATCATCTCCTCTACTATGACTCACAACACTGACAAAGGTCATTATATTGGAGATGAATATGGGAAATGGTGTAACATTCTTAGAAAAAGGCCATGTGGGGAAAAAGAATATATTTCTCCTTAAATGGTAAATTGAGACCGTTGTCACAGGTGAGGGTAGAGGAACTAATGGCCTGAAAACTGAGGAACAATAGGTGAGAACGACAAGGACGAGAAAGAAACCGGGGAGAGGGGAAAGATCCACGAAGTAGGAGGATAAACCAAGACGAAGCACAAAGGAAATCAGGGAAGAGAGAACAAAATGAAAGGACAAAGCTTCTGGAGAAGCGTCTTTTTTTTTTTCCAGAGGACACCAGAGTTGAGATGTTTGGTCAGAAAGCACAGCAGCATGTTTGGAGGAAACCAAACATTCCTGGTGAAAATGGTGTGGTGTTTTTCTTTTTGCTTCTTTTCTTTTCTGTCTGTCTCCTCATGGAAAACCCCGGTCACTGCTGGGCTCTGCTGTTCTGGGGGGCTGTGCGCCGACTTTCCATTTCGGCCTCAGAAGCCAGTAAACAGAGTTGAAACGGGCATATTTAGCTCCATGGCACGAATGTGCCTGAATGGTCCCATTATGGAAATGAGGTGTGTCTGGTGTCTTCACGCCAACAGGGACAGACAGACGTAGCTCAGTTCCGCGTAGCTGGACGCCTCCTCGTTGGGTCTGGGGTTTTGCGGGGGGGCAGGCAGATCGCTCTGGCTCTGTGTTACAGATGGTTTCTATCCAAAAAACCTCAGCGATCTTTTTTTAGCCTGGAGGGAGACAGGGTGTGGATGCCTACCACTAAATGCCTACCACAACTATAAGAGTAAACAGTAGAGAGCAACTTCAGTGGGTGCAGACTCACATTCTCCGGCAGTCCTGTAGCTCGGCGGTTCAGCGGAGTGATGCGTCGGTGTGAATTTTTGCACACACTTGAGAAAACATGCTGTTCCTGAAGGAAAATGAGGACCAGCAGCATGTTTTCTTCAATGTCTTGCATAACAGAAGGATCTGATTGCAGATTTTTTCCTTAACTAAGTCACAAGCTCCATATTATACAAAGAACAAGAATTGGATGGTGCTAATAGTTTTTTTAAAATATATAAACCCCCTACATGGGTTATTTGTCTCCGACTCACTGTGTCTGTTCTCAGACTGTGTCCAGCATTATTATTCTGCCTGTGCTCACATGCATTTGTTTAAATGTGGTAAATAATGCATTTGTTACAATTGATTCACTCCAAGCCTCCAGAGGGTTTCATTTGGATTCAGACAAACATAAATGTGTTTTTCTTTGCATAGATAAGTTGTCGATCACTAGATGAGTCACAGATCTTTGGGAAAAGGGAACAAACAGAACGTGAGTAAATTTTGAATGGCTTCGGAGCACTTGAACAACAAAACAGGACTTTTGGATCTTTATCTGACTGATTCAGGAAGCAACTTCTTTTCTGATTTCTCTTTTCAACTATTTCACTTACTCGATCAATACATTTGCAGAGGTTTATTTTGGTCAAATGCTAAAACCATATCAATCCAAGTGACGTGCAGTAAAGTGCGTGTGGACACGGGACAACTTGAACAAATCTACTTATTCAAGGAATTGTCTGTCTTTCCACTCATATAGAAAAGTACAGAGGACAACACTAACAAATGAATTATTTTAACATGCAATCCAAACCTATTTCAGATGTGCAAGAGGGGCAGAGAGGGGTAAAGCAGCCCAACTCATGCTTTTCAGCATGGGAATAAACAGAATGTTTAAAATCCATTCGAAGCCATGACCTGGAAAATTGTTAACATCACAGATAAACTTCAATAGCTTAAAACTTTTAAAAAAAAGTATTGATATTTTCCTGGCATTTTTATTATTAATTCTAACCTGTTAAAAGTTATGGTTTTTAATGAAAATGCCTGTAAATAGCAAGAACAAATTAAAATAAACTGTCTGTGGCCTAGTGGATCAGGAAGATGAGGGAACATATGACAAAAGTCGTACCTCAGGCTATCACACGAGCGAATTAAAAGTATTAAATGTTACTTTCCCCTCTACGTTTTGACTTTTGAACAACAGTTCCTTTGTGCTTGGGGATGCAAGGACACAGCTTATAACGTTATGCACTGCGCAGCTTACCGGTCGGGGGCAGAGCCAGAGACACTGCTTCAACCCCAAACACTCCACTGACTCTTAACGAGGTAAGAACAGATTTCTCTGTGGCTCATCCACGTTCATATTAGCCGACTAAACGCTGCTCCGTGTCGCCATTTTCCCGTTTTTCTCCATAGCAACGGACTTTACCGGAGTCTGTATTCAGCTGAAAATGCGACCATTACCGACCAAATAACTGACGAAACAACGTTATCGGTTATCGGCGTGTCTGGCTCCGTCTTTCTGTGGCATTTGTCCGCGTGGGGACTTGTTTTTTTGTTGTTGTTCTTTTTAATATTCCGTAACTGTTTGGCAAACAGGGTTTATGAGGGGAAGACGAGTGCAGCTCAGAAGTTTTCTAAGCTCGGTGCCGGGCTTTTGTGGCTTAAAATTTAGCGCCAAAACGCACTTTTGTCGTGTCCTTCCGTTTCCAACGGTCGCTGACACAGCGGGGAACGAGCCGAGGGTAGCACCTCACCACCCCGGGAGAATCCCGGGAGAAAAGCCACCATAAGCCACGTTTTAATGTGGAAACCGAGAAGTTTAAGGGACGTCTCGCGCGCCAAACAGGTGCTCCGAGTAATGCTGATTTGGTGCCGTTTTAATTGAACCTCTTCCGTGTTTTGGGTTAAACTTGACAAGTCAGGCGCAGCGATAATCACTTTAAGTAAGTTAGAAAGTGTCAGTAAGACGAAAGTAGTTCTTATAGCGAAAGGAGTCATTCTCTATCAGCATGTCGCGGTGGTCGTCAACGCATGGGTCAACTAGTCCTCACGTGGTGGAGCCCGTCCGCCGATAACCGGCGAGTCAAGGCTTCATCAGCACGTCGGTGATGATTTGAGACTCAAGTGTGGTTTTAACAAGAAGGTTCAACATTTCTGCTGGTGTGATTTCCTTTACTTATATATTTTTAAAAAGAAAAGAAATGATGCAATATGTATATCTGCTTAATATGTAAAAAGTACATGAACCACGTGGGGTGCATTGACAGCATGTGGCTGAATGATGACTTCCATGTTTTGGGGGTTTGGTTGTGTTCTGCAAAGGGCAAAGGTGGGGTGGGATCACAAAAAGGCTCTGAATGAGTAGAGATCTCCCTCTTTTCCTTCGTGACTCTGATGACCCTGAAGCGAGGAGGAAAGCGGTGGCTTTGTTTGCCACCGGACAGCAAATGGGACAGCACCGTTGACACAACACATCTGGCTGACAGTGAGGGGGAGCTTTGCCTCCTGACTCAGCCTCTGCTACGGTCAGGGGAAGAGTGAGTAATCCTTCCGTATCCACAGGAGCAGGGCAAAGTGTTCAGTTCAGATGAATCATTAAGGAAATCTAAGGAAATGTTTAGCCTTTGATTTAAGAAACCAATTGTAGTGATGTGTGAAGTTTCCCATTTTTGAGTCTGTCGGTTATTCAAGGCACTTTAACCTGGAACTGGGTGTTTTTTTTTGTCATGGTGGCAGGTTAGGTAGTTTATTATGAGCATTTCAAAGGTAACACCTATTTCCTGTAAACTCATCAGTTTGTACGTCAGACGGATGGAGCTGTGTGTGTGTGTATATATATATATATATTCTTCAGTTGTTTTGCAGCGGGTTTAAAGTTTGGCCTGTGATAAAAGTGACTGCATGTCAGAGCTCCATGCACACATTGCCACCACGTTCAGGGACGCTCTGACAGCCCTGTATTTCAGACACAGTAGCTGTTAAACTGCTTACCTTCTTTCCTATTCACTCCTTATCAGGAGTGCGTGGGGTGCATCGCTATCACAGCATCGTTATCAGACCTGTTTTCAGACTGATAATGTGATTGTTTGGGCTGTTATTGGTTGAGTGAAATATTGACAAGAGGGTCTGCTCGCGTGCAAACTTGTGGTTTTGCTCTCTGAGAAAATGCTGCCTCATTAGAGTTCCATCGTGATTAATTGGATAACAGTGTGTTATCAAAGAAATCGTTAAGTAACATGAAAAACAGTGATGTGTTTAGGAGCCATGAAAACAGAGGAAACACTGACCACTGACAGAAAACCCGAATACCCATAGTGCTATGTAGCACATGTTTGTTGTGAAGGATAACTGCTAATCTTTCTTTATTATTCAAAAGAAGGACTAGACGTCTTAACTGTGGGAGTTTCTCAGGCTTTTCTTCATGATGTAATAGAAAGCCTACATTTACATTTTCAGGGTTAGGTAACTAAGCCGCAGAACTCTTGAAGTGTTCTCCTCAGAGTCCCACAGTCACTTTGATTGTCCCTCAGAGAGGAAAAGAAAAGGGGTGTGAAATTGGAATGCCGGATGTAAAAGTTAGTGTAGCGCGGCCGAAATGGGACGTGTTCCTTGGTGTTCTGGACTCGGGCCGCTGAGCATCTGCTCTTTATGTAACTGTCATGCAGTGGAAGGATCAATCAGGCGCTGCACGCAGAGCCTGTTGATCATTTCATTTCACTGTATCTGTGCTGTTGATATTATCTACTGTCGGCTTTGAATAAATACCTTTTAAAAACATTTGGATGGAGATAACCTGCTGATGCTTCAGACCACAGAGCGATCAGTCCAGCACATGCTGATCAATGTCTCGTCTGGCGTGCGTTCACTATGCAGCTCCACATCCGACTGCTGTTTGGCCTCGAAACGCAGAGAGGGCACAGTGGACAACCTCCCTTTTGACCCGTTTCCAATACATCCAAGCACATGTCGAAGCATGTCGCAACAAATGGAGAAATAAATCAATATTATGGTGCAGATTTCTGTCCATTGTTCACTTGATCATTGAGCTTTTTTGCTATGGGGGGCGGGCCTCATGAAATCCCATTGAAACTGACCACAATTAAAACCAGGAAGTTTTTTCCTCCTCAATGCCAGAACTTTGGTTTGATTTTTTAAAATGATTTTTTTTTATGCACTTGTCCTCCTCGGATGTGTTTTCTCAGTACCCGTGGTGTCAAGCAAATCATTGCTATCAATTTCCTCTGATTAGTTCTGAGAATTGATTTAGGTTTAATAGAATTTGGGAGAAAAGGACGACTTGCATGTCGCACGGGAGCGTTTAACTTTTGCCAGCGCTGTGAAATGCCCTGGAAAAAGGAGGTTATTCTTCCCTCTCATCATATGACTGACATCAGACCGTTCAGCGCCTCAGGCCGGGAATAGAGCTGAGCCTGTAGCAGCTCCCTACTGACAGCGCCTGAACTCCTGGGAAAATTGTAGAATCAGAAGAGTTCAGAATCTACTCGCTCAGCGGTGACAGGCTTTATTGACTAAGAAATGATGCCATCAGAGCTCTTTGACTAGTGAAAAAAGGGTCCCTGTGTGCGTCTCCTGTGGAGGTAAGGACTGCCATCTCTGGTCCTTTATCTGCCATCAGCCCCGTGTCTCCAGTGACTGTGGACATTCGCCCGTTTCTTCGCTCTGTCATCTTTTTATGTTCCAGCGTAGATTGATCCAATCATCTGATGACCTCTCACTAGGTCACTGTAACCTTCGGTTTATGTGTTGGGCTTCCTCAAATTTAAATGTCATTTCCTTGTCCCACTTATCGGATGGTCTCAAACACTGACTGTCTTTTTTTTTCTCACTTCTTTTGTCGTGCTGTTTCTGTTTCATAGACGTGTTTCGCTCTCTGTCCTGACTTGTCTGGGTGGCAGATGTTTGTCTTCTACGGTGCTCCCATTCCGTTTGTGCCGCCGACTGAAAACCACAAACATGTTTTATCGACAGATGAAGATCAGTCACCTTTTTATGATCCTTCCAACGTTCTTTATTGTCATTTCTCATGTCAAACGTTTCCTGCCAATCAGCCCTGCGATCCAGCTCGTAAAGTTTTACTGGCTCTTTCTTTTTAAGTAATTGTGAAATGCCATTTTTAATTCTGTATGTTTTTCCTCTGCTTCATCTGAAATAAGGAAAAATAAATCAAGTGTGTTGTACAAATTCATAATGTTTAGTTATTGGTTCAAATTATTTATGACATTTGTAGGTTTTATTTTAGTTCCTTGACAAATGAAAAGGAATCCTCTTAATTTTTTGCTGGGGGGCAGTATCAAAAGTAATCGTCCATCTCAAAATAAGTTGGAAGTCAAATTGATCGAGAAAAAAAAGTAACAGAGTTTAGTTTGATTTGTTTAAAAGAAAAAAAAATATACATATTTGTTTTGAGAGCAGGAACATTCTCATATTCAGTCTCTGGAAGTTTAATCTTTGTTCTTAAGAGTGCGTTTGTTGAATGTCAATGGGCGGCCCGCCAGCGCCCCCCCCCCCCCCCCACACACACACACACAGACTGCAGAGGGCCTGTGGGTCGTGGGCATCGTTTCAGCACCGGTAAAGGTTCTGCCAGCTGGCTCATGTTACAGCTTAGGACATGCACAAAGATGGCAGAGGCTTTAAACGTCTGAAACAGTGAGCCTGACTTTAGGGCAAGTTTGGAGAAAGGGTTTTTTTTAATGAATGACATAATACATATAGAACATAAAATATGATTTATCACCTTGTGTTTACTGACAGCCACACCATATTAGACTTTTAAAAAAAAGACAAAAAAAATTCTAATTTAGAAAAGACATGGTTCATTGCCCAGGTTTTAAACTGTGTCTTGTTGGGGACGGGAAGTGCCACTCCCTAAATGCAACGTAGGGCTGCAGCCAGCTGAACGGTGAGATGACAGGCCAATTTCTAAGAACCGATTTGGCAGAGAATTGTACCGACTTTGTCCTCCAGCTTCTTATGACGTAAGATTTTTTTAAGAATAACACTGATGCCTCCAGGTCACACAGGGTCTTACTTTAGTCGTGAAAACCACCAAAACATCATCTAAGAATCCAAACCAACCCCCTAATCGAGATTCGTGATTTGATTCATGATTTTATCTCATATTTAAGGCCGAGTGGTGGATCGAAAAGCGGAAGATTCAGCAGGGGATGACTTACCATCCTGTGTACGGTGTTCCGGTCCTGTTGTCCCAGAGGTGAACGTCTGTCTGGTCCCACATTCCGTACAGACCTCTCTCAGACAGTGCCCTCTCAGTTAATGCCTGCTATAGGAGTCCCGTGACATCGGGATGCGTGATGCTTAACGGGTCGTCTGGCAGAGGCCTTCGTATAGAGGACCCTCTGTGCTTACCCACGGCCGACTCATGACCAGCTCCATCAGCGCTCATCCCCAAAAGGAACTTGTGCGTGGCAAAGGCCGAGCCGCACAGCGTGTTTGAAGGGGTCGTACGTGTGTCACGTTGAACTCGCCTGTGCTGCAGAAGTGGCCTCAGCCCCGACTGACCCTGTAGATCCCCACATCTCTGGTCTCTCTATCGGCTCCGGTCTGGCAGGAGCCTATCCCAGCTGGGGGGGAGGCGGGGGACGCCCTGGATAGGTTACCTAACATGCATGTTTTATTGACGTTGGGAGGAAAGAGAACCCACATGCCCACATCGGGGTGCCATCCATCGTTTTGGTTGCTTTTTTTTCTTAGAAAAAACCTAAACCAAACCTTGTTACCCGTTAGCTACATTTGTGGTTAAACGAGCTGGTTCTGTTTGAGGCTGGAGTCGCTCAGCCATCTGAAGACGTTTCCCCCTCTAGACTCAAGACAAAACGATGTTTGGGGAAGATAAACTTGTTATAACGTTGGGATGGGGAGAAGTGGTGGAAGAGGAATGGAGGAGCTCACATCAGTTTGCTGAACGGTGCAGTCCACACTTTAACAGCGTTTAAATGTGGAGCCGTTCAGCGAGGGGAGGAGGGAGGGGCTACGTAGAAGAGGGTCTTTGAGAGGAGAGGGAGGGATGGATGGATGAATCCACCTCCTGAACAGCTGTGCGGTATAAAGCCAAGCATTCAGAGGCCGTTCAGCCTTTTGTCACGAAGCATCCGATGAGCAGAAAGTAGAGATCCTCTCTGTGCTTTCCTCCGATGTAAGTACGCATATTTTTAAGAAGAAATGCGGGTATGGTGGGGACACTGTCCTGATTATGTCATGTTTACTTCAGCGTGTGTTTGACTAGATGAAAAATTGTCTCCTCAGCTTCACTATGTTGAGTAACTTCACCACTAAAGCAGCTAAATACCCTCCAGTGTTTGCTCATATTTCTGGAAGTTCTGTTTGTTCACAAACCTAATTTAGGAAGTGGAGATGTTTTACTAAGACTGCTGGCATGAAGCCACTGTGTTGGAGTCAGACTTTTTCAGATCTTTTTTCTGATTTAGTCTTTGTTTTGTAACGTAAAGTCATGTTAGTGTTTCGGGTTTTATGTTGGATGGTTAAAGGTGTAAAAGTGAGATGTAAAATGTTTTGAATTTTATTTAGTTACGAGTCAGATATTAAACAAAACCATGTAAACATTAGTTGTGCCAGCTCCTTCTGAACCAAAGGTTCCAGCTCCTGTTTTTAAAATAGTACTCAAACCTTTTCTGAAAAACGGCACTGGTTAAAGGAATGCAGTTTGTTTTGAGGTTTATAAATACAATAATTTAACTGTGGAAAAACGTGTCTGAATGTGCCACCTGCATGCATCACGCCTCAAACAACCCGATCCAGAGAAGTGCCTAACGGCAGCTGGCACGTTTACAGACAGGGCTCATTATTAAATCGGTGTGTTGATCCCCGTGCTGGATTGCCCAAATAAAGACACAAGACACAGTGCGGTGAAAGATGTCTGTGTGGTCAGTTCGGACACCTTCCAGTTTCAGAAGCAGGTTTCTTTTGTCCTTTCAGACATTCAGCCCTGAGAATCATGACGGCCATCAACGCACCCCGAGACAAGTGAGTACATTATTCCACAGCGGTGGAGCCGTTTTCCTGTCCTCACTTCTACTGTCCCCCTGTTCAGAGCAAGCTTTGGATGGGAGCCATGGGATAAGAAGTTAGAGATGTTTATTGGTATAGAGACGAATGAGCTGATTGATGTGCTCCTATCGTAAATGTCCTTGTGCTGCTTTTCCAGATACAATGCAGTATGGATCATTTTCTTCATCCTGGGTCTGGGAACTCTCTTACCATGGAATTTCTTCATGACAGCCACAATGGTAAGTTTGTGGACACTTTCAATCCCCTAAGTGCGAGACAGTCTGCTGGCAGATGCCCTTAATCCTTAGTGGGAGTGGGAGTGGGAGACCGGCCCACGTCGGTCAGTCAACTGAAGGCTGGGCTCCCTGTGGAGGAGGGTCACCTGCCCCGGAGCTTGTTTGTTTACCTGTGCCGTCATTCGGGGGGGCTGAAATGATTCCATCCAGGTGCATTTCTGCTGCGGTGGTTGAGCCCCTTTAATCCCAGCACTTCTTGAGCCTCAGAGGGCAAACCTGGGGCCGAAAGTGGAATGCAGGTTTTGTTATTGTGTGCAATATAATATGAGCTTAGTGCAAAGAGGACTGTTTGGAGAGGCTTAAATGTTATCACTGTTACAATAGAGGAAATGAAAGTTTGAAAAAAAAACCCATTAACCATGACTGTAGTTATTTGTGTAATCCAGCATGCCTTTAACCCCATTTGATATATATACACACACACACACACACTTTAGACTGATTGGACCAAGCAGAGGTAAATCCTACAGCCTGGATGAAGAGATGCTACTCTCAATGTTTTTTCCTTTTTAACCTCTCGGTTAACTGTAGTATTGTGTAGCTACATAATATGCTAGTTTGCGTTTCCTGTAAGTGAAACTGTGTGTCCTGACCGTGTGTTTGGCCGGTGTTCTCCAGTACTTCACCAGCAGGCTGAAGGACCCGCCGGCCGCCGTATCCAACGTGACGGCCAACGGGACCGACCAGGGCGGGGACCCTCGCAACATGCTGGAGCTGAAGTTTAACAACGTGATGACGCTGTGCGCCATGGTGCCCCTGCTCATCTTCACGTGCCTCAACTCCTTCATCCACCAGAGGTGCCACAAACCCCAACACACACACACACAGAAATCCATGGGATCGGTGTCTTGGTTTTAGTGAGGACTCAGGGAGCAGATTTCAGAATGTCTTTCAGACATCAGACATTTTATCCTTCAAATATTCTTCAGGTGACTCCAGACTGACTTTAAGGAGCTGAACCCCAACAGCCACATGAAGTTCAAATGTATCCCTTTCATGGCTTGGTTTGCTGTTTTTAACCTTTTCTACTGAAAAGTAGAAGGATGAAAAATGTTCAATTAAGGGAATTTTTTTAAATTTTATTTCTTATTTGTGCATATCGCATCGTAATTATGAACATTTTCTGGGAAATGCTTATGTAGCTCTATAGATGTCAGTGTGGAATGGCACTGAGTGAACTAGACCCTCAAAGTCATTTCTGATTATCGGCTATCCTAAAAGCTTTACCTTGTGTTGAGTGATGTAATAAAACAGGTAAAGATAAAAATTTTAACTTCCCTTACATTTTCAGGCTAATTCAATCTAGAAAAAATTAAAAGAATTAAGTGTAAATATGATAGTTAGAGCATGAGCTGCTTCTCTGTGTTCTGTAACGTACAAAATTACAACATTATTCTATTCAGAAGGAGGTGATTAGTTAAGATTATCAGTAATATTCGAGATTTAGTCTCTGCCTTTGAAGAGACATCCTGATTGTTTCTCAGAAGTCAGACTTCATTCCAGAAGTTGATCCCCTCCACACCCGACGGAAACAGCAGATCAATTTGAAACATGTCTTCTTATTTTTCCTGGCTGCTGTCCCTGTCAGGTTTATACCCAAAGGCCCTGTTCTGGCTTAAAACGCATTGTCCAAGGGGTTTGTTTTGCTTTTTTAAAAATTTATAGGTAGGGATAAATAGATAACGGCTCACATGCAGAATCTGCCGGGCCGTCAGATATGGACATGGAAGTCATCACCTGCTGGACCAGCCAGAAAGCCGACCCAATAATAACTCAACTCCCCTTTCTCAGATCTATCGAAAACACTCAGGATTTACAGCAGAGGGAAGAGACTACGCCAGTGAGAGGATTTGGGAGGCAGCAGTTTCTGATGCAGACAAATCTGATCTTGAACAGACTCTGTGGCTGGAAAGCTGCTGGTTGTTTTTAAAGAGGGGGATGGCTGTGCCAGTCCCTCAGCATAATGTACAGAACACACCCAACAGGAATGAACAGGCTGCCTCTCTGAAGACTGTGCAGTCAGGTATTCCCCCGAGACTGAACACAAAACTCGGGACCGGGTTCAGGGCTTTTTCTTTGTGTTTGTAACACAGGATCTGGTGTGTAGTTTATTCCATTACGGGGTTGTTCACGCGGTGCCCTCAAATCCACTTTCTATAGCTCATTTCCTGCTTTTCTCTGACCCTTTGACCCCTGTGAGGACAACGCAAGCACCCCGCCCTGTGGACGTATGTGTCCATGTTTGCTATAGAGTTGGGTCTTCTTCCTCTTGACCCTTTTTGTCCTGCAGTTTTTCTCACACATCACTTTGTTTCCACTTCTTTATTTTGTGAAAAAACAAGGGCATGTTTGTTTAAACTTTTTGAACGTTACCTTTCACTAACTTTACATTTTCCTCTAAATATTATCATCAGGAGTCCGAAACCCTTTAGAGAAAAAAAAGGCCTCATTGAAAGCGATTGTTTTTCAGGATTCCTCAGAAGCTGCGGATCTCCGGCAGCCTGACGGTCATCCTGGTGGTCTTCATGCTCACTGCAGTTCTGGTCAAGGTGGATGTGGCCCCACTGCCCTTTTTCGCCCTGACTATGATCAAGATTGTTTGCATCAACTGTGAGTTTTCTAAAAAATATTCCCAATTTCCACTTTCCGTCGCACAAAAACACAAACCCACTAAACAAAGTTAAAGACCAACAGGGGGATGAAAGCCAGTAGTTTAAAAGACAGAGGATGAAAGAGCAGTTCCAGCCATCCAATCGCATTCGTTTCCAAACCAAGCGGAAGCTAGAAGCCGCCACTAAACCAAAGCACACCAAACTTAAAGTATTTCAGTTTGACGTTAGCACCAACGCACAGTAAAGAACAGACGTTACCAGCTCACTGCCAAACCAGAGGGTTGGAGGTGGAGATGACACCTTACTGTCACAGCTAGATCGGTTTAAATATCTGCATTATCCCTGCAGTCTACGGTTAGCCGCTACCTCTGCGGCGTCCTGAGTCACTAATTAATCTGTTTTACTGTTAGATTAGAAACACCCAGCTGCCGGAACAATAAAATCAAATAAAAATAAGTTCCTGCTTCCTCCCTTGGTTTCAAGGTCAATTGTTTTGTTTTTCCCCCATTGTTGTTGTTATGGTTGTAACCTACTTCTGGGAGGTCCATTAGAGAGGAGGATGGAGTTGCCATATCCTTCCAATCTAAACTCCATCTGAAATGTGTGCCGGCCAAACTCCTGCCGGCTCATATCGCCGCCCGGCCCACTAGGTATGAGGGTCAAGTGGGAAATGTGTGGGCCGTTCCTGGTTGGGTTACTGTCCACACACACGGACACAGAACACGGCTTTGTTTGGTCGTTCCCGCCCAGTTTGTTCGCTTTGAGTCCTTCCAAAACCCCAGTGGGCCAGTTTCAACCCCCAAAGTCTCACATGGAGAGGCCCATCCTGTTTAGTTGCAGCCTGGAGGACAGAATGAGCCTAAAGCTCTGAGTTGTAGATCAGCGCTTCTCTGCTGAAGGCTGTGAGGCTCCACAGCTGGGTTTCACCGAGCCTCACAGGCAAGAAACGTAGCTAACAAGGCCCGCAACGGGAAAAAAAGACTCCTCCCTGACTCGCTATGTAAGGAGAGGGGGTCGGTGTTGCTCCTTTTTTCAGGATTCCTCTGCTGCTCCTGTCAGGAAACCGCACAGACGCCTAAAGACCCCGGTCTTTTCCCCTGTTTGTCTCCAGCTTTCGGGGCCATCCTCCAGAGCAGCCTGTTCGGGCTGGCGGGGATCCTGCCCGCCTCCTACACCACCCCCATCATGAGCGGGCAGGGGCTGGCCGGCACCTTCGCCGCTTTCTCCATGATCTGCGCCCTGGCCAGTACGTCCCGTCCCAAACAAAACCGGCACACACACACACACACACATACACCTCACAGGCCGGCGGTGGGAAAACAGGACCCGCCCACTTTCATTCCTAACCGAAGACGTGTTTGAGCGGGGGGCAGAACTGATTGGTCCAAAGCTGGGGCTGCGTACAATTAAGCCGGAGTTAAGAATGTTCTGTCCTACTGCTGACAGATCCTCTAAATTAGATTTAAAACCCTGGCGGGTGAAATGGGTCATAAAATGATATTCTTATCTGCTGCCTCACGCGGAGCTCCACCAGCCGCTGTGGCCGGAACAGAACCCTGACCGGTTGGACTTTGAGTCCTTCCCATTCACTGGTTACATCCAGAGAAAGGCATCCAGCCTCACCTGAGTGGAAGCCACTGTGGAACGGTAGCACAAATGGGGCCGATGTCCGACTGAAGGATCAATAGCTTATCTTGTGTTTTTTGGAAGTCGTGCTGCAGCCAGAGAGGGGTTCAGGTTCTCAGTGGAACTCATTTTAAGAACCATCTTCAGATACGAATCATGCTCAGAGAGATGAACTTTGCTCTGGTAGAAGACGAGCTGGAACGGGGAAACTCACTTCTGTGAATTAGACTTTCTCACTATAAGAAAGCGTTTGCTCATCAGATCAGGCCTGAGAGCTCCATCCGGCCTTCTGTGGGTTTAGTTTTGGGTTCAGTTATTCATGCTCATTTTAGCATCAGGGCTGCAAAAGAAGGGTAAAAAAGTGCAGTTCAGATTTGAAAAGGATGACGTCACCCGCCCCACTTTTAGTGAACACACCAGCACTATCGTGAAAACCATTTAAGGAGGCAGTAAAATTAATATAAAATATATTTTTTAAAAGAACACTTGCTAGGATTGAGCAGTAAATATGGTGTCTTTCGTCTCCAGCTGGATCAGAGCTACAGGACAGCGCTTTCGGCTACTTCATCACAGCCTGTGTGGTCATTCTTCTGGCCATAATGTCCTACCTCACTCTGCCCAAGATGGTAAAAGCCCACACTCTGACCATTAGTTCACCGTTTGTCCTCCCTTTTGGCTGTAAAAGCTCGCCTTCCACGGAGCCTCAGAGAGTCGGGCTCCCCCGGCTCTCTGGCGGTGGACGCAGCTCACCGCTGTTGTGTCCAACAGGAGTTCTTCCAGTACTACATGGAGAGCAATGGCTGCCGGCCGTCCGCTGACGAGGAAAACAAGATGGATTTACTCAAAAAAGGTACCCCAAGAGTTGTCCTTTACCTGCTCGGAAAAGCTGAGGAGGGGTTTTCGTTTAGGTTTTTACTTTTTTTTTACCGAAACGCCGAAGGCTGCAAATGACCTTTGGCACTTTTTCTTGATTGACTGGAGTTTGGAGTAAGGAGAAAAAGGTAAATGCAGAAATCCACAGGTCCTGCTGGAGGTTTCAAATGGAAATCCTCACCAGGAACTGAAGCTTATATTCCTCTCTTCCTTTCATTCGCACAGGCCTTTACATTTCTACCGTTGTTTGTTTTTTTAAACTCTGGGTTTCATGCGTCGTTGCTAATCTGGTGGAAAAACAGGTTACTGTGGGCCAGAGAGTCGTCTGGAGGGTTGTTGTGGCTGACTGTTTTCCTTTTGTACCCAAATGATTGTTCCCACCATAGATGAGTCAAACCCTGTCTGTTTTTTGTTTTTTTGGCAACAACTGGGCTGCTTGCTTTGATTTATCTCTGTCTAAGTGGCTGTTTGTTTCTCAGACAGCCCGGCAGAGAAGCGGCCGGTGGTCAATCTGCTGGAGGACGAGGCCAGAGCCAGCGTGTCCGTCTTTGCCATCTTCAAACAGGTTCTGATGCCCTCCTTCTTTCCGTGGCAGTTGTCAGTAATCCAGCCTTTGTGTCAGAAACAAACGGGCACAGGCAGTGTCGGTTTACAGGTCCCGTTTTTTTTCTTTCTCACGAGCTAATATTAAAAGTCATGAATCGCCCCCTCGTTGAGGGAAAGATGTTCTCTGTTCATCACAGAGCTCATTCAGGGTTCCTCACCCTTTGCTATGTCTTAAGCCAAAGCCTGAGCTGACATTTCCAGCTGTCGGCCGGCCCACATTTTTTTGGGACCCGCATGTACTGCAGTAGTTTTCTGTTTTTAAGAATCAAACCGAGATAAAGGCCGTTGTTAGCATTGCGCTCCGACTGTGCCGGAGACGATGAGATGATACTGACGGCTTCTCCCTGCTCAGATCTGGGTGATGGCTCTGTCGGTGTGCTTCATCTTCACCGTGACCATCGGAACCTTCCCCTCCGTGACGGTGGACGTGAAGTCCACGGTGGCGGCCGGAGGCACCTGGGGTGAGGCTGGATTCTGTCAACAGGCCTGAAAGTCTGCGGCACTCCGTGGAGTGGACTAATGCGGCCATATTTAAAGAAAACCCCCTCCCCATGAGGGCAGCGAACATCCATTCAGCCTCTGCCCTAACTTTAACCGCTGCTTGTTTCCATCCCTTTTCAGACACCTACTTCATCCCCGTGTCGTGTTTCCTTCTCTTTAACGTGATGGACTGGGCTGGCAGGAGTCTGACGGCCGTCTGCATGTGGGTCAGTATCAGCTCTGCTCTCTGTAAATCTCCAAAGCAAAAATCCTCGTTTGAGCTTCAGGCCCGATAAGAGTCCGTCCCCGCGGATAGGGGTTCCGACCCAACAGCACAGAGCAGAGAGAGAACCGGGACCAGGCAGAGCCCCTTTGAAGGCAACGTCTGGCCGAGCCTGCGTTGACAGCTTAATGATGCCCCCCCCCCCCGGCCGCGTGGAGTGTTTACCCACCAGTTTAAGCTCTGTCATGTGAGCAGAGAGAAAACGAGTCACCCAGAGTTTACGGTGAAAGTGCAGGACCAGCGTTGGCTCCCTGATATCAGCAGTTTGCTCTGGAGATGAGGTTATCTGTGGGTTCTTTGTGAGGGAAGTTTCCTCAGGGGTCAGAAAAATGATTGGGCGGGGGGGGAAGAACAACCTCAGGAGCACGGAAGCATTCTGAGGAACTCCTCCAGAAGGAATCCGGTCCCGGTCTGCCAGAGGCCGCTGACCTCCACCAGGTTTTAAAGGGTCAAAGCTCCGGTGTGGCCAGCACCTTCCCCTCCACACACACACACACACACACGCTGGCCTCTTTCCCAGCACAACATGCTCCTCCATAAACTAACAAATTAACGAAGAAGGCTTAATTTCCTGCGATCCGGAGGATGTAATCTAATATGAGCGGCTGTTCCAGCCGAGTACAGTCGGCGGCGGGCCGCCCCGAACCCGGAGGAATGCAGCTCCTGTGTGCAGATAACAGCAGTCAGCTGCCGCAGGAGCATGTGAGCTCGTTTACGGTGGTTAGAGCACAATGCGCAGGACTCGGAGGGGCCGTCCTGCTCTCGTTAGTCTCTCCACAACCCCCCCTTCACTTTATCCAGACCTATTGTTTTTTTCCCTGTTAATTATTCAGGTTTGATTCTTTTCCGCTTTTACCCGGGTTCTGCCTTCAAGTTACAAAGTTGGTAAACGTTGATCGTTTGCATTTTTTCTGTGTCCAGCCGGGCAGAGACAGCATCTGGCTGCCCATCCTGGTGGGCCTGCGGGTGGTCTTCATCCCGCTCTTCATGCTGTGCAACGTGGAGCCTCGTCACTACCTCCCCGTCTGGTTTGCTCACGACGCCTGGTACATCATCTTCATGATCGTCTTCTCCTTCTCCAACGGGTACCTGGCCAGCCTCTGCATGTGCTTCGGACCCAAGTAAGGCCACGCACGGAGGGGGGCTGTACGCCACACTGTGTTTAGAGAAATGAGTAAAACACGCTCGCTTTACATGGCTACTCTTGATATTACCCCCCCCACACACACACACACACACACACACACACACACACACACACACACAC